TTGTTAAGGACCAGCGATAATCCTGGTCTTATGTTGTAACTCTGCTTATGGTTACTTTGCTTAATATGAGAAAAATAATGATTCTTATGTTTAGCCTCTGTGACACAACAACCAACAAGAACGATGATAAAAGTACTCTCTTATTATGTTTCAAACACATACTAATAAGTTCAAACACATTGATAAAAACAGAGACAATCACATTTGAGGCTGAGATGGTCCTTGAGATGCTTGAGTGTACTCTTCCTACAAAATATACCATAGTAGGTAAAACAAATTAACTGTGATCCAATCCTTCTCATTAGTAATTAAACAATAAGAATCATACCGAAATCTCTTATGTCTCGACCTCTTGGCCTTTTGGGCGCATTCTCGACTCTCTCATTAGGACGAGTTGACTTGTAATAACTTTCTTCTTGACATTTAGAGCATGTCATGATACGTTTTTCTCTGCTTAATTTTCTTTTTTAAGGGCTGGGGACTAAACATCTCAACCACATGTCCTCTGTAGTTTTGATGTGGAAAACATAGATCATCTGTTTCTTCCCTACCCTTGGAGTGAAATGATCTGGTCTTATGTTTTGCGCAGGCTAGGTAGTCAGGATCACTTGTTCCAAACATGGTGAGTTCTATTTCCTCTAGCTCTTTATTATGTGTGATTATTGTATCATCAATTTAGCAATACATCTCTTTTGTATCATCCTTATTGTTCAAGTTTCTCTCACAAGAGAGAAGAATGAACGGTAGATTTTGATAATTAAGGCTTGAGAAGGTTTTTAAAGTTTTTTAAAAAATTGTCTGATATTAGATTAAACGCAGAGTTAACGGAAGTTTCCGATTTACTTATAATAATTAACAGCTGATTTTGGAGTAGGTTAAATGGCCTGGTCAACATAAATGTGAGATTAAATTGGTCAATTTTTAAAAGTTAGTGATTTAAATTGCTCAAATTCAAGTTCAAGTTTTTTTTTGCTTATTTGTGAAAGTTGGAGGTTATTTTGGTGGTTATCTCCCATTTAATTTAAAAAATCGTGAAAATATCCCCTACATGAACTGTGGTATAACAGATGAGGTAAAAGTAGAAATCTCCATTTTTGTATTAACCACATAAATATACTTACAATAGCTTATAGATTACGTACATTATATTTTGTACCTATCTCAGTGGCCAAGAGCTTAGTGGTGGATATCATGCAGATATCAATAATATCAGTTTTTATAAAAAAATCAGATTTTTGTTGAGGTTGTTAGTTTAAATATTTAAACAGTTATGATAATAAAAAATATAGTATTAGATTAACTTTTAATATTCAGATTGGACAATTTAGTCAATTTATATATATAAAAGGGTAGTTCTCAAAACATTTTAAGTGTAGTTTTCAATTTAAAATCTCATATAGATGTACTTTTCCAAATTTTCTCTACTTTTTATCCCAATAATTTTAGAGAATCCCCTGTGTAAATTACATACGATTACAATCGGTGCTTAAATTATCCCATAAATATAGCACGCTTTTTTAGAAATAAATCTTCTATAGATCTCTTCAAACCAAATCTAAGATATCTTTCTAATAGATTTTTGTGATCCCAAGAACTTTCTGGAAATGTACATTTTAAAAGTACAACAAATAAAGTTACACAACAGAACAGCTTCGAAGTCTCTCTCTTTTCTTGTCGGTATGAAACCTAACCAAATACGGTATATAACAGATTATTTTACGTAAGTTTCTTTTTATTTAGAAATTTTATTTGATCAAAGCAATGAATCGAGATAAGAGTAGTCTTTGGTTCGACCATACTCCAAGAGACTTCCATAAGTCCGGTCCCAAACACCGATGAAGAGACTCTCAGTGTCTGGGCTAAACGAAATCCCAGAAATCTCTCCGAAGAAATCAATCTCTTGCTCCTTTCTGTAACCTGCTTTTGTATCATACACGTGGACAAAATCTGCTGGCTCTGCCATCGCTATGTACCGTCCGTCTGATGTGAATCTAATGGACCGGACCGCTCCAAGGTTACCTCTTAGTACAGCGACTGACTCCGAGGTTTTCCTTGTGTCCCAAATACGACAGGTCTTGTCTTGGTTTCCTGTGGCAAATGTCACACCGTTGGGATGCCAAGCCGATGCAAATGAATAGTCTAAGTGGCCTTTTAGCGTCCCGACCGTCTGCAAACAAAAATTGAAAACCCGTGACGCTAACGGGGTTAAAGTAGACGGTACTTGGGAAGGAGAATTTTAAGTACCTGTCCGTTGCTCGAGTCTACCAATAGACCATTTGGGTCATCTCCAACGACTGCTACTAGTTTTCCATCAGGACTCAGGGAGCTATGCTGTTAATTTTTTCCCAAAATCATAAATTTGTGAAGTTGAATTTTATTAATCCGCACAAGAGGCAATAAAAAAAAAGAGAGATTATGTGAGCTTACGTTGACGGGCCAAAGATAACGGAAGAGTTGGACAAGCTGATATCTCTCCATGTCAAAGTCCCTGACTCCACAGTCATTATTTGATGCCATGAAGTGAAGAGCGCCACTAGTAAAACCATATAACTAGTTTTAGTTTCTCTTTTGTTTTATTGACCAAAATAAGAAGCCCAATAGCCACCAAAAACGAAAGGCGAAGACAGTACCTGGAGTTTCTATATATATCTACTGCGTTGGTGATAGCGTTTTCCGTGTAAGTTGTGCGTGAGCAGAAACTCACACCAGGTCTATCAAGATGCTGGTTGCAGGGGAAACAAAACGTAGAACATGAATAAGCAACTTCAATTCAGTGTAAAGAGACTTCAAAGTAGAAACACCGTGGGGGTTGCTATTAACCTTAATACCCCATTCAACGCCTCTAAACTAACCTTGCAAATGAGCTCTCCTTGAAATCCACCAGCAACTAGTAGCCTTTCTTTAACTGCAAGAGTGCTAACTTGAGTTTCTGTAAATCCTTCTAACAAACTCTCGGGATGTTTCTGAAAAAAATATCGAATATCCGCTTTAGATAAACCAAACAGACCGAGCCAGGTTAGTTACATGGTTTGGATAAGGCTTGAGAGACGAACCTCAGAAGGAGCTACATGACCTTTAACGTTAAGAATTTCACTCCTGGAACCTGTCAAAGAAGACCAGTGGCTGATAGAGTAGTTGGACAAGAGGTAAACATCATGTTTTGATGTAGCCCACACCAAATTCCTCAACTGCAACAAAGAAGATGAAAATAATCCAGACTAACTATGATCAGCTTTCCATGAAACTATGTTACCATCAGCAATACTAGAACAGGGAAGCACGGAGTGATATGGTGGCAGTGACTGTTGGCAAACCTGAAAATGAAGAATGGTTGATCTGACTGATCTAGAATTGCTCCTGAAGGTATAGAAAGAGCTGCCTTTCTCAGTTTCCGTGCAATGCTGGTTCCAATAAGCAAGACTAGAGTGAGAAAACGAATCTCCTAAACCTTGGAGAAAGAGCATGAAAAATCAATGTAAGTCACCTTCCCAGCTGCCTCTCCGGAATTAGGAACATTTTCATAGTTCTTATACTGTTCAAGCCTAGTTTTTCTGTAGTCTTTTCTAGTAACGCTAAGTCTATCCCACGGTATACCCTGAATGTCCTTCCCGTTCCGAGCTTGAGCAGCAGATGTATCTGCAGCCTTGTTCTGAATCAAATTCATATACACTAATAGTTTGAGTGTTTGTTTATCAATCATAACACAGAAGAAAAGAAAAAAGAGAGACAAAACCAATTGTTCAAGATCTTCGACTTCGGAATCAGATGCATCGATGTCTCTTCCATCAAACTCTGCATTCATCTCGTCTTCAAGATCATCCATGTCGTACTCATCAGCCATATATTCATCTTCAGTTTCATCACAATGTATTCAATTTTGAGTGAAAAAAAAAACAAAATGAAACAAAGTTGAATTAATCAAGAGGGAAACAGAACAAACCAAAGTCAGCCATCTCGATCACAAATCCAGCTTCCAATCTGCAACACACGACGATGGTCATATTCATGCCAAATTCATTAATTAATCGAAATATCAAGCAAATTCATAATTCCGAATTCTAAAATTATGCTTACTACTTTTCCAGATATCTAAATTATTCGAAAATTCAATTGAAATAAACCCTAGCAAGTCCGAAACAGGAGATCAATATTTCTTCGATTTCTGACTGAAACCTTAATCTCAAAAAAGTAAAACAGGAAATATAATTATATAGGGATTCGATTGGATAGTCATCAACCCAGAAAACCCTAATTTCGAAAACAAGGGGTTTCGTTTCACCGGAAGCACAATCAGAGAATTAAATAAAAAAAGAGAAGAAAATCGGATACCCCAATCTGATAAAAACTGGTTGAGAATTAGGTAGTCACCGCCGGATCTGAGGATGCAATTTATGCACAGCCTCTCCAAATCTATACACTTCTTCCCTATTAAAAAAACATGGTTGCTTCATTATTATTTTTTGTATCCACATCAGCAATCCAATATCCAATAAGTAAGTGACATGTGTCGTATGTATCATCGAAGTTTTGTACGAATATTTAAACTTTTTTGTTTGCTTCTTAAACGAAAACTAGATTAACAATGCCGGCCACATTTCGTAATTCGTTTAATGTATACAGACCTCGGATACGAATTATTTTTTTTTATTCCGAGTTTTTTCTTAGTTTTTCTCTAATTCAACAGAAGTGAATTTGCTAAATAGTTATGACTTATAGTAATTAAGCTTCTGCAGTGTTTGAGTAGTAAAATTAAGTTAATGAGTTCCGTAAATTTTCATAAAATTATTCACAAAATCTGCAATCCACAATCCAATAACTCAATAAGCAAAGTATATGTCTTTTTATTTACTTAATTATTAGTGCACAAAACTAATAAAATAAATTGAAGCACGTGGGGTCCTGACCACTTCGATACTTTCTTCATTTGGGTTCTCACAAAAAATCGTTAATGTGATGATTGTCATTTGAGTCGGTGAGTGAGACCAGTTTTCATCTAAAACTTCGCGCGTGGGAGTAACAAAATCCTCGCGCTCGATTTAAACACGTGTCATTATCTTAAACCTCCACGTCGGTCAGTCTCATCCAAACTTAGAGAGAGAAAACTCTATTTTCCTGATTCGTTTTCTCGGGGAAATTTTCTGGCAGAGTCGCGACGAGGAAACTGGACCATGATTCTGAGGAAAGTATGGGGATCGATGTGGAGCCGATCGAATAGTAACAAGGAATCGGCGAGTCAGGGTCCTCTGTCGACGTCTCTTGGCGCGTTCGATGATCTCCCGATGGATATTCTAATCCAGATTCTGATGTTGATGGAGCCAAGAGACGCGGTGAAATTGAGCTTAGCTTGCAAAGCGTGGAGATGTTTGGCTTGTGGTAATCGTCTCTGGATATTCTATCTCCAGTGTTCGCAGGAGTCGTGGGACTCCATCTTCTTCGGGGAAACTAGTTTGCGTTCTGGTTATCCTCTCCGGTGAGATTTTTTAAAAAATAGCTACTGTGTGGTAGTGATGATCTCTTTGTTTTTGATTAGTCAATTGATGAATCATTGTGTGTTTGGGGATATGATTAAAAGACAATTCTAGGTTTTAGTAGCGTATTTTGCAGAATTAGAGTATGTGTTTGGAGGTGATTATTATAAGACGATTCAAGGTTTAGTAGCTTTTTTTTTCGCAGAATGCTTTCTAGCCAATCAGGGGAGTTGTCTTTCATGCGCATTTATGGACAGAGGGCACAAGTCCCTGGCTCTATCATTATCGATGGTATGATTGGTTCTTGACTTGTTCTGGGGAATATTGAACTTGTATAGTAGAGTTTTTCAGATTCTTTGTTTTCATTTAGGTGGTTCTGGATATTGCAAATTTGGTTGGAGCAAGTATGCTTCACCTTCTGGACGTTCTGCTACTTTTCTGGTGAGTTCATCTTGGTGCTGAAGCAGTCCACTGTTTCTTTTTATTTACAAAGTTAGTAAGCTTGGTTCTTCTCTCTTGCACACAAGATCGTTCTTACTAGTTTGATCGCCAGGAATTTGGCAACATCGAGTCACCCATATACGCTAGGCTTCAACAATTCTTTGCAACCATTTTCACCAGGTTTGGTTTGTCCCTTTGTCGAAGTACCATCTGGCTTTTGTATCTCTTGACTAAGTAACTTGTGGATATAGTTTCTTATGTGATCATTTTGATTTTTCTTACAGGATGCAGGTTAAGCCCTCTATGCAGCCAATAGTGGTGTCACTGCCCCTCTGTCATTTTGATGGTTAGCTACTGAGTTTAGGTTTTTATCTTCAAGCTGAGATCTTTGTGGTTCCGGTTTTAAGGTTTTCTTAAATTTTGTTTCAGATACTGAATCAGCCAAGGCATCAAGGCGACAACTTAAGACTGCTATCCTAAATGTCTTGTTTGACATGAATGTTCCTGCTGTGTGCGCAGTTAATCAGGCGAGTTCTTAAGTGCTTTCTGTTATTCATAGCAGTATTTTTTCTCAGAGAGATTCCTTCATCGTCTGTATAGCCATATTTTCCACGATTTAACCAAGTACAACTATTTATATTTTTTTTTATATTCCTGAATTTAATACATCACCAACTGGAGATAGTATTATGCATTCCTTGTAACATGATTGGTTTTATTACCATTACAGTCGTAAGCAAATTATGAATGATCTCTGCTATATTTTCAGGCTGTTTTAGCCCTATATGCTGCACGGCGGACATCAGGAATTGTTGTTAACATTGGTTTTCAAGTCATAACCATTCTTCCAGGTAAGCTATTTTTCTTCGTTATGATCCATTTTGTTGTATCCTCAGATGATTTTTAGCGACTTGGTACTGAACTTGATTAATTGTGTCAAAAGATGCATATGTGAACATTTCAACAAGTTATAAAAAAAAACTTGTGCATCCATCTGATTCTCTCTGCACCATTCACTTGTGTCTAAGCCATTTACTTTTGCTGGGTACTTTCCAGTTTTGCATGGCAAGGTGATGCGCCAGATAGGTGTTGAAGTCATTGGTTTTGGAGCGTTGAAACTCACGGGATTCCTTAAAGAAAAGATGCAAGAGAACAATATTACCTTCCAATCGCTCTACACTGTTCGTACCTTAAAAGAGGTATTACCATTGACCAACCTGTCCCTGGTAGCTAATAATTACGTAGGTTTCCATCGTAAATGGCTCTTTTGTAAATCAAAGTAAGGTTCATCTCTGTGCGAGGCTGTAAGATAGACATTATGTACAATGCCCCTAAATTATTTATTAAAAGTAACATATGAAGTAGCTGAGTATAGTTATTTCTTGTAAGTTAGTTTACATGATGCTTTTTGTTGTGCGAACGTAGAGCCTGTGTTATGTGGCGCTCGATTATAAAGCTGAACTTTCAAGGGACACACAAGCTTCAATGAAAATTGCGGGTGAAGGATGGTTTACTCTGTCAAAGGAGCGTTTTCAGACAGGAGAGATATTATTCCAACCACGTATTGCTGGACTGTAAGACTTACCCAACTTATTACCATGAGTGATTAAGAAATATAAAACCTTGAAGCCTCTCTAGGGTATGGAATTTGAACAAATTCTGAAACTAGAAATGAAATCATCTGACCATACTGTCTAGTTCAGAAATCTGTTAATAACTTCCAACTTTTTCATTATGACTTCTTCGGATTACATCATTGTAATGTGATTAAGCTACATGCATCTCATCCCTGAGTTATGGTACTGTGAAGAATCTCCAAACATTGACCATTTTTAAATATATTCTTTGATTGTTTTGTCATTGCGAAAACACAGGCGTGCAATGAGTTTGCACCAGGCAGTCGCGCTCTGTATGGACCATTGTGATGCAGCAGGAGTTACAGGTGATGATAGCTGGTTCAAGACTGTAGTATTGGCTGGAGGAAGCGCATGTTTGCCAGGACTTGCAGGTACAATAATATTACCGTAAATTTACTCAGAAGTAAATAATCAGTAGTTCTTGCATACAACTTGAAATCTTTGAAACTCAATCTAAAAGAATAGAGCTCCTCCGGTTGGCAACTTAACTGACATGCCTATGCGGTTTTTATCTTGCGAGTTATATCCAGAAAGGCTAGAGAAAGAACTGCATGACCATCTTCCTTCTTATATATGCAATGGAGTCAGAGTGATCCCTCCTCCTTGCGGCGTAGACTCAGCGTGGCATGGAGCAAAGCTTATCAGTAACGTAAGTCGATCTTATACTTTGTTGTTATATTGATGATATTCGTGAGTTTACTATTAAGTTGACTTAACCCTCTTTCTCAACCTCCAGTAGCGGGTTGATACCAAAAGATTATTTTTCAAAACATACCTTTGATATTATATACATGTTTTGCTGAGATGAATGTGGGATTAATTGACACTAAAGATGCGTAAATCCCTTGTCTGCGCTATTTAAACATACTCCATCTGATGCTCACGCAAGTGCATGTTTATTAACTATTATTCTGTGCAGTTAAGCACGTTTCCTGGTCCTTGGTGTATCACAAGGAAGCAGTTCCGTCGCAAATCAAGACTAATGTGGTGAATCTCTCAGGAACTTTACGTTGTTTACCTTCACAAAGACTGAGCTATTCGGTTTGTAAGTGAGAGGCAGGTAACAGTTGCCTGCAAATAGTTACAGTGTACTGATTGTATAGGTATAGACTTATAGTGTTCCGTTATTGATGGTTCTCCATAGCCATAGAAAACCATTATGAAGAATTAATAAGTTTGTTATACATATTGTATTTAAATAACTTGTTGAAACCTCTGGCTGATTTATATATATAGAGATATGGTTATCATTTCACAATCTGCTTTTACTTCATTGGTCGGCTAATAGAAGAAGAGACAATGGATACACAAAGGTCCTACGAATAAATATATATCATTAGAAGTATCTGAAGTTCCCTAAACCAAAAGATATACGGAGACCATAACAGAAACGGGAATCCAAACATGAGAACTAGCGGTGGCACTGGCTGCGTTTAGGTCTGCTTCTGAATTGGGAGGCATAGCAGGGCATTCAAGTCCTTCTTTACCTTCTCGACACTGGTTAGCGAAAAGTCCAGGTGGGTATTTTCCATAGATATTGATGTAATTGAACATAGTGCTTGCACAATTTGTGGTCAGGTCGTCGATCTCTTCGGCGTATGGACACGCAAAGTCCTTAAAGGAAGAGCAACATTCCTTTGCTGGGAATCTGGGACCTTTGCATTGGCTTGTTATGACAGTGTAATTCATAAACTCGAAGTTCACGGTACATTCTGTTACCATGGATTACAAAAAAAAAAAAGGAGCAAAGTCAGATTATACACTGATGGCCAAGAAAGTAAGATTATTATATGCATGATTAAACACACCAGAATCAAGAAACTGGAATCGAAATTATGTATATGGATCCATATATATATATATATATATATATATGCAGGAATCCTTACTAGCTAGCTCCTCTGGATCGGTTAATATTTGTGCTTTCACATGTAAAAATGGAACTCTTAAAAAAGAAAAAATGGAACTCTTAAAAAAAAAAAAATGGAACTCTTACTATCTTCATACATGCAAAGAGAATCAATTTAAATAATAGAAACAAGTTGAGGAAAGCTGAGATTTCATGAGACTCAGAAGAACTTGCTTTTCCTGGTCTGAAGTAGGTGTCTTCCACCAACCAAATTCTGAGATTCGATTTCGAACACACCATCTGCAATTTTTTTTCCAGAAAAAAAAACAAGAAAATTAACCAAATTGACTGAGAACATTCAAACAGTTACCTGGGGAAGAAAAGAATCAAGAAAGCCTTACCAGAGATAAAAGTAGAAGATGATGAGAGAGATGAAAGTATTGAGAGTAGAAGAGCGAAGAAAAGAGCTCTAGAGAGGAACTTGAGCTCCATGGTTCTTTGGTTACACACAAAGAGTGACTAAAGAGATCTGCTAAAAAGAAAGACAACTTGGCAGACTGAGCTATCACGAAACCACCTAGTTAACTTGGAAACTTGCGAGCCTTTAATGCAACGTTCTCAAACGATGACGTGGTATTTTATTTGTTGCCTACTGTATAAGTGTATATCAATCAGTAATAATGTATGCCAATTTGTTGGTGATGTATATTTAACTTAACTTTTCTATAGGTTACAACAACAAAAAAAGCTGATAAATAAACTAACATATGATAGTATGCTACACTCTTTCTAATATTCATTACATTTTTAAAAATGTGAAAAAGATACATATTTACCATTCTGTTTCGAGCATACAAGATCATTACTTTGTCAAATTAACTCTTTAAAATTGAAATCATGTTTTGAGCACGAATGAAGCCATGAAAATTATTAACTTGTGCTTGCTACTGCTCCTTTCTGTAACATCTAATGTCATAATACCACCTTTACCTATTCTTTTTTCCTCAGTTTGAGCATTTATTCACATGTGGTTAGAGTTTGCTCGATGTTGAAGTCCATTATTTACAGAAACCTAGTGGAAAGAAATGAACGTTTTTAGAGGTAAGAAGAAAAAAACCACTCAAATCTACAAATAGCAAAAGCAACTTGAGTCCTACTTTTACCTAAGCAACATATAGGTAAGAAATCTTTCTGTCGACGCAATTTAGAAACAACCTTCTTTAATGAAACTTAGCCTAACTTAGATTTAATTCAATTTGGAAAAGACAAATAAGTAGCTTAGCTAACTTCTTGAATACTTTTAGTACACCATTTTTGTCCACCATATTCTACTCTCATGACTTGGACAAACCATAAACGGCGCCAATAGGAATGAAAATCCGTAAAAACTTGTTTGGAATTGGATAATGTAACTGTGTTGGTCGAAAATCATTTCACTGTTAGTAAAACAGTTAACCCATCAAGCAATGAATATTATTTGCAAACTTTGTATGTTCTTCGTTCACACTAGCAAGAGACTGACACATCATAATCATAATAGCCAACTGTTCACTCGAGGCATTGCAATATCTCAACAAAGGCATAGTAGTAAAAAAGCTCATGTACACACGGCTTACGATGATAAAAGTAATAAAGCAAAAGCCACACTTCTTCATTTCTGGGGATCATTATTGCCAATCATCCCATTGCATACTTCTGGGTCCAGGAACGGGCAGTGCTCTCGTACTTGGCTCGGTCTGTCTTGTACATGTGAGCTATTTCTGGAACCAGAGGATCATCAGGGTTTGGATCTGTCAACAATGAGCAGATCGACAGAAGAACCTGCGCAAAAATGTAACACCAACTCTTTTTAGCAATTTAGCTGAATATGCAAATTCAAGAATATCATCATACAATCAACCAGAGTATCTTCAAGCAATTCACTTATTTTTTAACATATAAGATACTAGTAATCCACATTTCATGTCATCAATATTGATAATGAACGCCTTAGACGACCATTATAGCATAAGGTAACTAACTAACTAACCCCTAATGAAAGAGATGCCCTTCGAGAATCACTAGATTAATACCATATCACGAGTCCTTAGACCTGACCCATATCTAAGCTCAACTCAATCCTTAGTCAAAAGGAATAATCAAAACAGAGAGACTGGAGAAAGAATGACCATAACATAAACAGAGCAAGTATGGAAGTGAAACAGAGTGATGATCAAATCACCTTGGATACGGTAAGTGCAGGGCTCCACTGCTCTTTGAGAATGTCAAGACAGATGCTACCATTGCTGTTGATATTCGGGTGATAAACCTTTGTGCGGAAAGCAACCTGCAATTAATCATAAACAACCATTCATGATCTCACCACAGAAAAAAAAGTAACATTCATTCTAAGCACAAAGGTGATGATGATAAACAAAATTCAATAAGCTCCACAATCCACATGGAAAACTTTGGGTTACCTTTGGTGGCTTGAAGGGGTAATCAGGTGGGAAGTGGATGGAAACAAGAAAGACACCTCCGGCGAATGGGCTATCAGTTGGACCCATAATAGTTGCTTGCCAGTGGAACATATCATCTCCCACAGGACCTAAACAACATCATTAATTTCATTCCAATCTAAATAACTTTTTTTTTTAAAAACAATTCATTATCCTAAAAAATTGATACTGAGTTTGCTAAATCAGCAACTGGGTCTCTCTATAGGTGTTGTGTTAATAAGTACAAAAGATCCCAACTTATAAAGTAATTATATAAACCCAAGTGCCAAAGATGGTGCTTTAAAAGATAGCTCACCAGCACTGCATGAGACAGGAGGATCCCTTTGCAGGTCCCTAAGCTCCATGTTAATTCTTTTGGATGCCATAAGTTGAAGAGTCCTTCACTGCTGCTACGAAACAATCAAGAGTCTGATATCAAGAAAGAAACTTTTATACTAAATTACATATTTGGAAGAAGCACAAGCAACTACACAACAGAGACTAAGACTAGGGTTATTATCATAACAGAGGATTTATTAATACAAAAAGACTCATGCACAGAGGTTAGTAACTAAAGATACTTTTTCTTTTGATCAAACAATTCAGAAACGTTACAGTACAAGAAGAATATGCTAGCAACACGAGATATAACAAACACATGGATCGAAAGAAAAAGATTCATAGAGAGAACACAAGGGAAAGAAAGAGATCGATCGGCGAGTAAACGTGGAAGGGACGATGATCGTAATCGAATAGAGATATCTAAATTTGACCTAACCTTTCTTTTTTCTTAGGGTTTTGAGTTTGATCTTCGGAAATCTCAAGGCAACGCTGAAGATATAGCTTTAAGTAGACTCTTCGTATTCGAGCGGTTCAGCTTTGCCACGTAGCGAGAGCTAGGTTCCTTAATGGGCCCATTACACGGCCCAATATTCGAACGGTTGATTTATTTGTAACCGACTAATTGTCAACTAGCCTATCAATTCAGACTTAACACGTTACTGAAAATTTAATAAACAGTTGAATTATATGGGGGAAACATAACATTATATTGAAACAAACTTTACTTTGACATATTATCATTTACCAGACACATGATATGTTTTTCTTTTACTAAAATACAAAAGCTTATTAAATTCCTTGGATAGTGGAGCGAACCGTTTCTGACGAGTAGAATAACAAGAGAGAGAAAAAACAATCACCAAAGTCTTGAAGAGAGAAAGATACTCATTATGAGTTAGAAACTAGGTTGCATGGAAACGGAAACGGATACGTGGAAACGAAACGTTTTGAAACGTGGAAACATGATTTTCAAAAAAATTAGAAATGGAAACGTTTTAGAAACGTCTATAATATATATATACTAGGGGTGTGCCGGCGCTACGCGCCGGATTTGTGAATTTTGCCAAATTTTTTTTTTAAGTTCGTTTAAATGTGTGTAATGTTTGCCATAAACGATACATGTGTCATGTTTGTAAATACAAAATAATGTGAATAACAATAACGATAACTCTAAACTGTTACCAAATGTTAGATTACTATTAGTTTTTGGAAGATTAAATAAATCACCGACTGCTTCTTATTTTTTCCATTAAACCAAACATGTGCAGATGACTTCACAGATCACAACTCTGATGTCTGATGGTAAAGAAAGCGACTAATTATGAGAATGACACGTAATTAACGTTAAACAGAGAATGATAACATCTCTTTGAAAACAAATACCAATTGTTGTGCAAAAACAAAAATCATAGAGTTTAGAGAGGAAATAAGCTAGTAGGAAAAAAAACAAAAGGGAAAATCAGCAGAGCATAATTCAAACTGGAAGCAGAAGTGGGTGTTCATGGTAGAGGCTGCCCTCATCCCACGTGAGCCTTCTTTCTCCCATTTTCATCAACATCCGAATCGGCTTCCCCCTGCTGTGGACGCTTATCACTTGTATTAGCGGAGGTTGACGCCTTATTTCCTCCAATGTGAGGGTTTCCCAACTCCCCATCAGTTGCTTGAGGAACAACTCCAGGATTAGTCATTTCTGCGGTCTGACCACCATCCTATGAACCAAGACGCAGAGAGTAATAAGTTTCTGTAGACAGCAACAAATAAAATACTAAGAATCATCATCGATAAACATACATGTCCAGCGAATGTTGGTGTGGGTGCTAATGCACGCTCAGGAAAGATCCTGGAAATGGTAAAGGTCTGGTGTTTGGAGGAGAAATTGAAATCGTTCAACTTCAGTTGGAAAGTGTATGTTTTCCCAACAACACCAGCAAGAGAAAGTGGTATGTCAGTGTCGACTTGAGCATCATGACCTACACCCTGCAACCAGTTTAACGTAAACTTTAAACACAGACGATACGATTTCGGAGATTGAGTAAATATTAAGTTATTAAAAAAAATTTGGGAAAAATGAGGATGAGAAAATTAGCAAAGAAGTGGAACTACTTCATACCACAATTTGTGCAGCCTCAGAAGCCTGAAGGCATGTAAGTTTCGCAATCTCCATGTCAAAACCGAGGAAAGACGCCGTATCACTCTCATCTGACACAGTCAGGGTCACACGGTACCTATATGACTCAACATTAATCACTTAAGTGACATGTAATTAACTGCTACTGAATGACAGTGATAGGTAAAATATATTACCTGAGTGCGGCCACAGCGTTGGCCTCATTGCAGTGAGCACATGTGAAGGACGCAGTTTCACGGATTAGTTTTTTGGAACACGTTGCACAGCCAATGTAGCACCATCCCTCTTCTGTCTGGATACCAGTCACCTTAGCCGTGCATAGGAACTCAATGGTCTATGCAATAAAGCAGCAAGTATACAGATGTCAGAAGAAATTTAATCTTATAAGAATTTGAAGGTAAATACAGGCACCTGAGGTTCTGCTGAGATGATAAACTTGTTAAGCTCCGAGACAGTCACGGGTTCAATCTTCTGGGCATGTACAACTTTGGATGACCCTGAATCACCGTCTGTTCCTTCACCTGTCAAGCTGCAAGTGGCCACGAAATTTTCAAAATTTAAGAAATAAATAAGCAGACCAGAGATACTGAATCAATTTAAAACAACA